ATGCGGGCATCGCCGCCTGGGCTGGCGGGGGGTGCCGCAGCCGGCAGGCCAGCGGGCGCGGGTCCATCAGCAGGGGGCGCGGCGCCAGAGGCAGCGGCATCCACGGGCAGCGCGCCGGGCGCCAAAAGAACGCGAACGGCAGGACCAGGCATCCGCGGCGGCGCGGAGGCCTGGCGCCAGTGCGAGCGCGCCCCCAGCGGCCCCGCCGGCAGGGCCCCCGAGCGCAGCTTGAAGGGCGCGCAAAGGCCGCCACCCACAGGGCCAGGCGCGCCGCCCGCGGGAGCGGCCACCGCGGGCGCCCGCCCCGCGACGTTGGGCACCAGAGTGCCGGCGGGCGCCACGAGGCCCAGGCGGGTGCAGGCTCGGCCGGCGGCAGCCGTGAGCGCCGCCGCCGCGTGGGGATCGCCCGAAAGCAGTAGTAGCGCGCCGCTGGTGCCCAGGGGGAGACCCCGCCTGGCGCACCGCCTGGTCCCAATAGACAACGTCGGCGCTGCCGATGAAGTGGTCGTCGTCTTCATCGCCGTCTACCGTCATGATCGACGCAGTGCCAGGAGTGGCCGGGCTCAGCGCCACCACGACGCGCTCGTGGACGAGCGCTCTCCCGCCCACATTGTACTGCACGCCGACGAAATCTCCGACCGACACGCCCGCGGCTGCGAGCGACACGTTCGCCAGGGGGCCCGGCGCCGCCATCACTGCAGAGCGAGAGCACGCTGCCGCAGCACCTTCACCTGCGCACGGGCCTCCTCGCCGAGCTCGTCAAACTCGCGGTCGCGCCCAAGGAACAAGGCCGCGACCGTGTAGGCCACGAGCCGCCGCAGCGCCAGCAGCCCAACCGCGAGCGCCACCGCCAGCAGCGCGCCAGCGAGCAGGCCGAGGGCGAACCCGACCTCGAAACCCCAGCCGTCGGCCGGGGCCGGCGAGGGGCAGGGCGCGGCTGAGGGCGCGTCGGCCGCGGGGCACGCCAGGCACGTCAGTTGCGGCGGCGCGCTGCAGGTCAGAACCGGGCAGCCGGCGCACTGCGGGCACGCCAGGCGCGCCCCGCAACGCGGCTCGCAGCGGGCGTCAACCGTTGGGCACGCTGGGCAGGCTGGGCACGGCGGCGGCCTCGCCACACAGGCCGCGCCAAGCTGCCCCAGCCACGGCCCGGCGACGCGGAAGGCGCCCAGCATCCGCGGTTGAGCTCTGGACGAGGAGGCGCGCCCCAATAACTTCGAGCCATAATATGAGTACGTCCGACCCCTGGCCTCTGCTCAGCCCTGATTTGTGACAGCTGCGATATACATATATCTATATATACACACACTCAAACCATCGCCCGCGCTTCGCGCGCGCTCAGGTTCTAGCAGGCTCCAGGCCTTGACGAATTCACTGCTGCTCCACCGAAGTAGTGGACCACAACCCACGCATGCCAATCTGCATTCCGAAAAGCCTTCGAAGAAAATGGTTGTGTAGGAGGGCGGAGGCCGTGTGAATCGGTTTTCCAGAAGGCCTTCTGGGAGCATGGGTTTGGGGCGTCTTGGGGAGCCTGTTGGGGCGTGCCGTCGTCGTCGTCGTCGTCGTCGTCGTCGTCGTCGTCGTCGTAATGTCGTCGTCGCCGATTGGGGCGCGCCGTCGTCGTCGTCGTCGTCGTCGTCGTCGTCGTCGTCGTCGTCGTCGTCGTCGTCGTCGTCGTCGTCGTCGTCGTCGTTTCGTCGTCGTCGTCGTTGTCGATTCAAGAGGGCACTTGGGGCGACTTTGTGCGAAACGATCTGCGGAGGGCCGCGTAAAGGCGATCAGCCATGTTCCCAATCAAGTTCCCAGACTGTAGCATGATGGTATTTCGAAGCCTCTGGGGACTCGCGGGCCCATGATGATACATGTCCCCGGGAAGTTTTCTGGGGACATGGTTTGTTGGGGTGTGTTGGGGGGTCTCTTGGGCGTTCCCTGGGGGCTCCTCGGGGGCCTCCGGGAACTCTCGGGCCCATGATGAACCATGTCCCTGGAAGGTTTTCAGGGGACATGATTTTCTTGGGGTGTGTTGGGGGGCCTCTTGGGTGTTCCCTGGGAGCCCCTTGGGGGTCTCTTGGGGCTTCCTGGGGGCCTCTTGGGCGGGGGAAGCGAGAATGCCTAAATCCTACAAAAACCATAGAAAATTACTCACTGCGTGGCGCTCCCCATGTGCATCTCATTTTTTATGAGATGCAATTGTGAAGGTTTCTCTATGAATGCCTGACTATGAGAGCGCGTCCACGTGGTCGACAGGTCCGGCGAAGACGTTTAAACACCGATGTGCATGAGTATCAGTGAGCGTGAGGTTTGAATACGACTGGATATGCGCCCATCCTCTTCGCTCCTCCTCCTCATAGGCCATAGCGATGACGTGGGAGGTTTGGGTGACTTGGGAGACTCGGGGAATGTGGGAGACTTGGGAAACGTGGTAGACTTTGGGGCCTTGGGAGCCTTGGGAACTTTCGGAGACTTGGGAGGCATGGGACACTCGGGAGACTCGGGAGACTTGGGAGGTTTGCGAACCTTGGGAGGCAGGGGAGACTTGGGCGACATGGGAAGCTTGGGAGAGTTGGTCGCCTCGGGAGACTTGACAGAGTTAGGAAACTTGGTATTCCTGCTGGGAGACATGGAAGACGTGGGAGACTTGCGGGACTTGGGGGATTTTAGGGACGTGGGGGGGCATGGAAGACATGGGGCACTTGGGAGACTTGGGAAGCTTGGGAAGCTTGGGCGACTTAGGAGACCTGACAGACTTGGGAGACTTGGGAGACTTTCGGCGCTTCGCCTGAAACATCCTCACAATCTGCTCTCCAAGCGAAGGATGTTGGCAAACCGCTTGAGACATCCCCACAAGACGACCGCGAACGGGACCGTGTCATACCCCTCGGCGGCTCCCCTTAGGGGTGCTGAAACCAGCGCCCCGCCTGAGACATCCTCACGATCTGCTCTCCAAGCGAAGGATGTTGGGGCAGAAAACAAGCAAACCGCTTGAGACATCCCCACAACACGGCCGCGAGCGGGACCGTGTCATACCCCTCGGCGGCTCCCCTCAGGGGTGTTGGAACCATGTGAGATACCCCCCTGGGTAGCCTGGACACGTGACAACACTTGGTTCCAGCTCGGGACAGCCATGTTAAAGCAGGGCTGCGTCTAAACGGTGTTTTTCGTTTTCGTGTTGTTTTAGTTCTCCCTCGTTTTGTTTTCGATCCGCCTTTACCGAAAAAAACGAAATCGAAACGAAAACGGCCCACGAAATCGCCAAAACGCTGTTTAGGTCCAGCCCTGATGTTAAATACCCCCACCAGAGTGGCCTAGACGCGTAAGACACGTGGTTCCAGCGCGGGACTACCATGACAGATATCCTTCTGGGCGGCCTGGACGCATGAAAACACATGGTTGCAGCCTGCCCAGGCAGCGCGGACCCCGCCGCTGGAGCGGTGAGACGCCATCTCCGACCCCCGTGTGGAGACTCGGTTGAAAGGAAGTCGAGCCACAACAATGTAGTGAGTCTGATTTCTGGATCTGGGAGGGCTGAAATCTGGCCAGAAGACAACAGTGAGCCTCATTTCTGGACCAAGTCGAACCAAAATACATAGTGAGCTTCACTTCTGGACCAAATCGAGCTAGAGAACCATAGTGAGTCGATTCCGGACCGTTCTGGACCGCCGCCGGACCTGTGAGACGCCTCCCCCCGGCCCCCCCTTGTAGAGGTTCTGGTGGAAGGATTCTTCGACCTCTTGCAGAACCCTCTGGCGAAACGCTATTAGGGAAAAAGGCAACCACTGTCGTCGTCCACAGCTTGCCGCAGGCGGTGGCAGTTGAAATGCGGCGCCAAATTCGGGATGAAAGCGACATGCACCTACAGCGCGTCTGGAAATGTCCAAATTCGCGCTATCCCTACAGATGTGTCAATTCCGTCGTCGCACTCCGCGAACAGGGCTGCCCAACCCTCCTTATCCTCGCCCCCTTTCCATCAAACAATCGAGGGATTAAGTAACTAGCCTTGGGTCGGGCATGTCCTGCAGGCCAAACTGCGGGTTCGAAGGCGGAACAGTCCTAACACAGTTCCCTCATGTCCTGCAGGCAAATTCCACAACAGTATGCGAAACTGTCAGCCAATACACAAAGGACACTCAAAAATAGTCAAACCATCGTCCCCAGACTATTTTCCTACTATTTTTGAATTTTCCTCCTGTAGAGGGACAGGCCCGACCTAAAACTAGCCGCTGCCTGTTGGTCCATTGGAGCAAAAGTTGCCGGGAGAGGAGAGGGAGCACAGAAGAGGACAGGGAGCAACACGTGTTGGCCGGGAGGAAGAGAGGAGAGGAGACAGGATGAGGGAGGCGGGGGGGAGGGAACGAGAGAGGCAGAAGGGACAAGAGGGCGAAGGGAGAAGGAGAGAGGGAGAAGGAGAGAGGGAGGGAATGAGAGGGGGAAAAGGAGAGAGGGAGAGGGAGAAGGGACGAGAGTGCGAAGGAGAGAGGCAGAAGGAAAGAGGGAGGGAAGGAGAGAGGGAGAAGGAGAGAGGGAGAAGGAAAAGGGCTGAGAGGGAGGAGGAGCTGCGCCAACGCGTCTGAAGCTGAAGAGCACCTCGAGGCTCTCTTGTTTTCTTTTCTTGGCCGGATCCACCAAATGACCTCTGCAGCTGTTTCCTGGGGAGCCCGCAGCGAATACAACAGGGAAGGAGGCGAAACAGACTCACGAAGAGAAGAGAGGAGGGATGAGGAGGAGGAGGATGAGGAGGAGGAGGAGGAGGAGGAGGAAGAGGAGGAGGAGGAGGAGGAGGGGGAGGAGGAGGGGGAGGAGGAGGAGGAGGAGGAGGAATCCGATGCAGGCAGGCAGCCTCTTGAACCTAGCCGGGAGGGAGCAGGAGGGAGCCGGAGGAAAGATGATAAAGAAAAGGAGACGTAGGAGCGGGAACTGGAGGTGCGATCCCTAAGGTGCTCTCCTTCGACCGTGCTGAGAAGCCAACAACGTTATGACAAGAATTTCGAGGAGAATTCAGCTTTGTCGACGACGGCTCTCCAGGACGAACAGTGGCATCGGTAAATCCCTGCCTCCTCTGAGACATCACGTTCCCTCCCCGGCGCCCCCGCCGCGCGCGCTTCAGTAGAAAGCGAACCTCCAGATCAGCTGGGCAAGCTGATTCAGGGTGAGCTCGTGCGGAGGGATTTCGGTGGGCGCCGCCAGGTCGCTCTTGTCGACCCGCCGGCGTTTCGAGACGCACCTGGGCGCCTCGGCCGCCGCGGCAGCCCGCCGCCTCGCTGGAGCGGCGCCGGCGGAGGCTCCCCCCGCAGCGGCGGCGGGCCTCTTGCGGGTCGCGGCCTCTTGCGCGGGGTGGCGTTTCCCGCCGCCGTCGCCGCCGCTGTCGTCGCCGCAGCCACGGTCGCCGCCGCCGTCGTCGTCGCCACCGACGTCGCCGCCACCGACGTCGTCGTCGTCGTTCTGGTCGCCGCCGCCGCCGCCGCCGCCGACCCGCCGTCGTCGTCGTCGTCGCCGTCGTCGTCGTCGTCGTCGTCGACGTCGTCGTCGTCGTCGCCGCCGTCGTCGTCATCATCCGTCGTCGACGTGGCCGCTGTCGTGGCCGTACGAGGGTGGGATCAGGTATGGGCTAGAGAATGGTCAGGAAGACGAGATGGAGGGTCGAGGGGAAGGAGGCGAAGGAAGCGGATCAGGAGGACGGATAATCACAGAGAAGAATGCCCCTCCTCGCCCTCCCCCTGAGACGCGGGGAAGCCTGCGGGCCCCGCAAAACTGGAGCAGACATGGCTAAAAATGATGACTAGAAGCAGGAATAAGAAAGAGCATAATCCGGCAGGTGGGCAAAACCCAGCGTACACGTCGGTCGGAAGACGTAAGTAAAAGCATGAAGCAGGAAGGCGGATAGAGTACATTGGGCTCAGGCCCTCCCAGATAATAACATAACGCAGCAAAAGCAGATCGATTCTTGGAGCAGGAAGGCGCTTGAAGTAGATTGGGATCTGGGAATCCCAGAATACCTATCTTCAACGACCGAAGGGTAACGACTCATCCTCATCCTGCTGCCCGTGCTGCTGCTGCAGTCTGCAAGCTGCAGCTGCTGATCCTCACCCGACGACAGCTCCGCAGCCTGCGCCTCCCGCAGCGTGGAGGCGCCGCCGCCCTGGCAGCGGGCGCGGCCCTGCGCGAGCGCTGCGGCGACGCCCTGCGGCAGCCGCTTGGCCCGGTCGAGCGCAAGCGGTCCGTGCGACAGACAGGAGGACGCCCGCTGTCCACCTGCACAGGTCAGGGCCTTGCCGACCCTGGGCCCTGGACGCGTGTGCGCGGCAGGCTCGTGCTTCAGCGTACTAAGAATGGCACAGGGTCAAGCTTTTTGGGCCATCGGGGACGCCTGTCCCAGGGCGGCTGTGAAGTTCGTAACAATACACAAACTTTCCAGCCGACTTGGGACGGGGGGCCCCGATGGCGGACACATGTATTTCATACCATTATTCGTCCGCTCAGTGTCGTAAGGACCTGTGCGCTGGTTCCTGACACCGCGTGGATCGTTCAACGTTCAATGATCGGCGGCGATTCGGTCGCCAGATTGTTCCATGTTGGCCGATTTTGGGCCACGACGGGTGTTCAACCCTGAACGCCCGCGCTGGGTTCGCAGCCGTGTCGACACGACGCGAACCTACGGCACATGCCCTCCCGACCAGGCCACGAGCGCTCATGCTCTGGATGATTTCGTGAGCGCAAGGTAGAACGGATTGGACTGCGTGGGGGGTTCTGTCAAGCGGGGGGGGCTGCGGGCTTAGTGGCAAGGTTAGATGCTCGTTCTGGGGGCCTTCCTGGAGCAACTCACTGCGACGAACGTCCGTCGGCTTGGGTCGAGATTGAGTCGAGCTAGATTCGAGCTAGAGGCGAACTATAATCGAACTCGAGTCGATCGGATCTGCTAGGTGGGCCCCAGGCAGGTCCCAAAAATGAGCCCCTGGTTTTCCTGGCGCCGAGAAGCCAGAGGAGCGACCTCCCCTAATTATTGAGGAGCGCGCTGGGCTGGCAGGGCCAGTTAAGGGCCCCGAAAGGCAGAAAACGATGCAAAACCAGAGTCTCGCTCTTCTCGAGACGCTCGACGTCTGGGCCTCTGTTGCGGCCGCCGAGAGATGGGCCCCGACCGTGGACCGGTGCGGGTGTCGGCGACTCCGAAGGGTGCGGTTTGCAAAGGGTGCGGTTTGCGACCAGCACGGTGCACCTTCGGGGGGCGGTCGAGGACCTCGACAGAGCTCTCCGCCGCGCCCCGAGGAGGCCCGACGAGGACAATGTCGTGACCGCCAGGCCCCAACGGTGCCAATCGCAAACCGCACCCCAGCGTAACCCTTGGGACGGCGAAGTACATCTGGTACATGAGTTGCTTCGATGGAACATTTTGGAAGTTCTCACGCCACATGAGTGCGGACCTGCCCCATGCAGGTGCTCCCCAAACGCAATGGTCAGCCGAAACAAAAACAATGTTCTGAGAACATGGAGAGCCGGTGTGTTTCAAGGCAATGGCAGCCAGAAGTGCTCTAAGAACATCTCGTGCAAACCACAAAAGTCCTTAGAACATTCTCTCGTAGGTCCAGAGGCAAACCAGGACGCTTCGCCGTTGCTTGAAATACAGTGCTGGCGCGGTCGCAAGAAACCATCGCAAGAAACCCAACTCTGAAACCCCGCGCGCGAGGTGCACCTGAGGGGAGCCCTTGGAGCACCCTGAACGCAGCAGCTTCCCAACGGCCGCGGGAAGTCACCGCGCAGCACGCGGACCGAAGAAACCCAGGGTGCCCTGGCGAAAAGCTGTTGGTTTCTTGATGCGCACCTCCACGGTATGCTGCGCGCTCCGAGCCGTACCCTTTGTGCAGTCGCCGAGGGTGGGCAGCTGGCGTCCCCCGAGACATGGAGCTGGGCTGCACCTGCGCCTCCGCCCCCCGCGCGGCCCTGCGGAGGCACGCCTCGCCGCCAACCCTCGGGTTGCGGTACGGGGCGTACCTCGGGCGCAGAGGCCGGCATGAACTGCAGCCATGGCACTGCCAGAAGGAACGCCAAAGACCGGCGGCGAGCGAGGGGGGAAGTGAGAAAGGGCGGGCCTTCTCAGAAGGCCCGGAAGTCCTTTGGCCTTCGGAGAAGATTTTTAAGCCTTTTGAAAGTCACAAACAACTTCCCACAAGGCCGGAGGGCTTCTGAGAAGCCCCGACGCCTTCTGAGAAGGCCTTCTCCTTCTCACTTCCCCCCCTCGCTCGCCGCCGACAGAGGGAACGCGAAAGAAGGACCGAAGCCCCTTTTTCTTTCAAGACCAGGCCATATATGTCTGAGCATCGGCCGAGCCCATGCCTGGAGGCGTTCCCTCCTCTCCTTTTGCCCCTCGTCCTGAGAATGGCCCCTCCCTCTGCCGAAGCCAAGGGAGCGGGCCTCTCGGCAAGAGAGCGCTAGGGAACGCGGGCAGACCCGGGGAACCACCGAGCCCCTTCCGAACCCGAGCCAGGCCCTGTCTCAGCGCAACGGCTGCACGGCAGGGTCGGGTGGTGACGACCTTGGCGTTGGTCCCTGACGCCGCAGGGATCCTTCGACCTCGAGCGATCGGCCGTTTCCGAAACGCCGCACCGTTCAACGATGGGCCGGTTCTGGGCCACGAGCGGCAATCAAGCTTCAACGGGGCGTAAGTACCTCGGGCGCACGCCGACCTGGTCCCAAGCGTCGGGCGTCTCGAATCAAGCAGGACGGAGGTTTTTCGGCCCTTACTGGGCCTCGGGACTGCCTAAAAACGACTCGGGATGAAGAAATTGTCCCAGGGAATGTGTCGAGAGGTCGGGTGCCCGAGTCTCGAAACAATCGAGACGCCAGATGTCTGGGGAATACGGGTCAATGGATCTGGCGCGTGGGCGCAAGGGTCCGAGTCCGAGTAGATGGGGTCGGAGGATCGCGCCGCATCGACGAGAAATCGGCGATGCATCGGCGATGCATCGGTGATGCATCGGCGATGCATCGGTGATGCACCGTCGACGCCGGCGACGCATCGGCGACGTCGACGTGAAGCAAAACGGGATGCACATCGAGCCGCATCGCCGATGCATCGGCAACGTCGACTTGAGGCAACACGGGATCTGGCGCGTGGGCGCCAGGATCCACGTGCCGAAGACGGCACGTCAAAATACGATAGGAAACATGAGACCAATGCCGCCCGACTTAGCGACGGAGCGCCCCAGTTTCGTGCGGAAGCGGGACCCGTCGCTGGTCCACGCGCCTTCACCACAATGCTTGCGGTTTCTTGGGCACGTGCTGTCAGCCTTTCTCAAGGTCTAAGAGGCCACGTGCGAACCCTATCCCACCACCCCACGATTTCAAAGGGGGGAGGTGGGGTAGGGTTCGCATGTGGCCCTCTAAGATCGCCCCCCGCCACCCCCCCCTGCTCCCCCGGGGCCTCTCCTTCAGACGGGGATTTCGACGAGGCGAATCCAGCCGTGGCGGCCTGGGCCCCGTGGAGGCCCAGAAGTGCAACAACGCCTCGCCCCTCCGCATCGTCGAGGGGGACGAGAGAAGTACCGATGCCGCTACTCCCAGAATCTCGCCCGCCGTGCGCTGTGACCGAGATTTCGAGGCGAATCCACGGGTGGCGACGAGGGCCTCCCAGGAGGCCCAAGAAGGCGAAACCGAATCAAGAACAGTGGTATGGGTACCTGTTCCTCCTCTGAAATCATTGCTCCTCCCTTGCGGGCCAGAACTCGGGCCTCTGGCGGCCATGCGAGAAGGCTGCGGCATCCCCGCAAAGCCCTTGCCGAGGCGCAGCTGATGCAAGCTGAGCACGGGCCCTCCGAAGCCATTCCGAAGCCATTCCGAAAGCCTCCGCTCTAAGAGAACGTTTTTCTGTTTTTCGCGGTAGCGGCCATTACCGGTCATGCCCCCCCCCCCCTCCTTACGACGAAGCCAGAACGATAATAAAACCGGGTGAGAGTAAATCGAGAATCTCTGAGATCCCGCGGCTCTGGAGAATGTCTCGGGCACCGCGGCCTTCTCAGAGCGTTCTGGAACGCTCTGAGAGCGTTCCTGAACGCTCTGGAACAGATTTATCCTTGTCCTAGCCCCGTCCGACTCTCCCCCACTGGTAACGTCACGATTCGTGCTGACCTCCGAGGTGCCTTTGGGTATTCCTAGGGCGCTCCCATGGACGGCGCAGGCGGGAAACGTGACGCTACCGGCCCCTCCTCCCCCCTTCCCACCCCCAATAACGCCTGTTATCGCCCAGGAATGAAAACCGCTTTCTTCCAGGGGCACCACTGGACCGACATCGACCCGCTGGCCGAGTCGATGGACTTCACCTCCACGACGCCGCGCCTGGCCCCGTCCCGTGACGGCGGCCGACGCACGACAGATATCGGACCAACGAACGATCGACGGCGGCCGACGACGGCCGACGGTGACGACGACGAACCGACGAACGACCGACGGCGAACCGACGAGAGAGCCGACGACGAACCGACCGACGGCGACGGACCACGACCGACCATCGACTGACCCGCGGCGACGGCGCCTGCCGCCGCAGGCCGCCAAATAAAACTGGCCCGCCGTGGGCTCCGCGGCGGGCCGCGGCTCGGCCAGCTGCGGGTTGGCCGCGGGAGGCGCCTGCAACCGTCCGCGGGGTCCGGGAACGCTGCCCCTCGCTCTCGGTCTGCGCCGCGCGGCTCTCGGAACTTTTCTTGCTCAAACAATGCGTGCACTTAGAGATTTTTACTTGTAAGCGTTTTCTGATTCGGCGTTTCGACATTGGGCGGAGGGGGGGGGATGGGGGGGGAGTTCTGGCTCCGGACCTCTGCTTCATGCGACTGTTTGCAACAGTGCGTCCGATGGGGGAGACTCCACCTGCTCTGCCAATATCTACTCCATGGGGGGTGGATGCGAGGGCCCGCGCCGATCGGCAAAACAATGAAAACTGGGCCCGTCTGGCGGTCCGGCCGGCTTGTCGCCGCCGCCCGTCGCCGCCGTCCGCTTGGGCCTGGCTAGCGGTGCGGCCAGCTCGTCGCCGCCCGTCGCCGGCCGTGGCCGTCGCCCCTCGCCGCCGGATTTTGGTCGCAATTTTGACTGCGCGGGCCTCGTAAGTCTTTTCATGAAGCAAATCAGAATCTACCACCCTCCCCACCCCGAAAGATCGGTTCCCATGCGATAGTGTAAGTTACACACGATTATGCCCCATCATCCATCTCAAATATGAACTCATACGGCCAACAATAATGCCGTTATCGCCCCCCTCATCCCTGTCATATTATACTATGCGCGCACACTCGCTTATCAATCATACATGTTCAGCAATATGCAAAACCACGGAAAGAAGTCAGCACGCGCGGTCGTTGCGCGCATGCCGAAATTATTGCCAAACTTGAGGTCTCGTAAGGATTGCAATGCCGAGCTCATGGAAAACATATGGCAGCCATCGCGGACCCCAAACAGTGCTTCTGGCAATATAGGTTGTGCGCTCTATGTGGTGCAATCGATGTGGTGGTACATTCGATGTGGTGTACTATCTTTATTGGTATGTGTACAAGTACATAAAAATATATACACACATGTATTGTACACTCCATATGGCACAAACTATATCATGCAATCCATGAGGTGCAATCGAAACGGTTTTAAAGATGTTGTGCAAGCTATTTGGTGCAGTCTCATGGGTGCAATCTATGTTGTGCAATATACGAGGTGCAACTTATGTGCTGCAATCTATGTTGCGCAATGAAGGTCGTGCACTGTAGGTGATGCATTTTATGTTGTGCAATCCATTTGGTGCAATCCATGCAACTCAATCTATGTCGTCAAGTTTACTGCAGTCCGCAACCAGTTTGGCCTAAGCTGTTGGGATCAAGGTCCATACAGAACCCAAGACACACACCACCCCGCTCAGCCCGACGGCCGCGCCCCCTATCCCCCCTTCCTCTGGGCCGGCAGGGAGTGTTCTGTCGCTGGCGCGGGCGCCGCGCCAGCGCCGGCCGTCGGGTTGCCAGGCGGCGGGTGTCTCGGGGGGGGGGGGGTCTTTCGCGATAGCTGGCCCTTGGATCTAAGCGGCTCGTGACCCCGATTTCGCTCAGAGCGAGATCGTGAGCGGCGAGCTGTACGAGGCCACTGTCCAGGATAAGAGCGGGACTCCCCAAGGGGCGGTGATGCTCCGGTGCAGCAAGGGGGCCCAGTTCGGCGGCGTGGCGCGCATGGAGCACATGTGCGTCCAAGAGGACTACTATGCCTGGTGGACGCAGGAGAGGGACCACAGCATGAAGGGGCTCTACCACCTGTGTATGGAGCCCGCCTACGACTGCCAGCGCAGGCGGGGGTGGAAAAAGTGACGCGAGGAACCCATCGTCCACCTGAACGAAATCCGATACCTCACGGAAGAGGAGGCAGGCGACCTGAGGTGGCTGAAGGGGCCGGCCCGCCGAAGTGACAAGCCCATGCGAGGGCGAGAGCAAGGACAAGGGTAAGGACGACAGCAAGGACCAGAAAAAGGGCAAGGACGGCGAGGAGGACAGGGAGAAACCCGAGAAAGAAAAGGGGCCTCCAGACTCTTCGACAAGCCGTCCGCAGGAGGGGACCCCACGGCGGGCGCCAGGCCACGAGGAGGCTGTGAAGACACGCTGGACAACCTCCGCCAACAGGTCGGTGTGCGGAAGGGCGATGACCGGAAAAATCGCGTCGACCTGCTTCCGCGTCGTGCTGAGCCCAGCGCGTCGCGACATGGCGCTCCGTATGTCCCAGAAGGCGCGCACCCTGTGCTGGGCCTTGGTCTTGCTGGCCAAGCGCCAAGCCAGAACCGCAACAGACTTGCTGTGTCAGCGGCTCAAGGCGCTCGAGACGGCGATGAAGGACAACAACAGCTGGATCAGAACGCAGTGGTTGGAGCTAGTCCCGCCAGAGGGCATGCCGTTGGTCGACGAGGACAAGGAGCTGATGACGACACGCGAGGATGAGCGTTCAGTCCAGGATCGCAGGCAGCAGGGGAAAAGCAACTCCACGGGCAAGGACGGGAAGGCAAAGGAAGGGAAAGGCGGCGGAGGAAAAAAGAGCCTGAAATGAGCGTGGCGCCCGGCGCCGCCGCCGCCGTTACGACAACCGCCCGTCCGCCGCCAGACGGCCGATCGACGGCGCCCGCCCGCCTGTCTGCCATCCGACGGCCACCTGACGGTACCCCGTTGGCGCCCGACGCTCGACCGACGGTGCCGCCGCCGCGGCTGTTACGACAACGCCCGGGATCGCCCGAAGGGCGCCCGACGCCGCCGCTACGACAGCTAGGGCAACCTCGATGCCAGCCCAGTCGATGGACGACTGGCGGCGCAACCTTGGGGACTCCACCGCCCGCGCCGTTTCGGCACTGTCGCTGGGCGCGCTGATGCGACGAGCCTTGGTCGACTTGCCTTCGGGCTGTATCGTCCCTCTCCGGGCATTGGCCTGGCTGTGGCTCCCAATCGGGAAACAAGTAATGACAGAAACACCAAAATTCGGAGGCCCGCGCGGATTTCTCGAATCGGCGCTGGACTTCCCCATTGGCGCGCGAAGCGCGCTCGGGGGCGGCGCCGGGGGCGGCGCCAAGGGGCCCCAGTGCCGGTCCGAGGAATCCGAACGGGACTCCGAGTTTTATGTTTATGTAATTGTTAGCTCCCTTACCCAAGGATGTTCCCATTGTCGTACCGCGACGTGGAGGCGATTGGGCGCTTGGGAGCACGAGGAAAACTTGCTCGGCGAAGAACCCAACCCTGTATAAATCAGGGCGAACATAAACAGGACGGCCCAATGCGCAAAAACACGGCGAATGATCTACAATATCCCCGGCGACTTCGCCAAAGAGGGTAAAACCGCGCACAGATTTCCCCATTCGGGCATAGACGCCCACAAATCGAATCGCGATGGGGATCGCACGACGAACGTGACGTGGAGCAGGACGGAGGCACGGAGAGGAGGAAGTCGAATTGGAGGAATGACTAGTGCGAGTCTCAGCGCCGCGCGCTACGTCACGCGAGACATAACAGGACAGCGCGACGCGCGGAACGCTGCGAATTGTCGAGCGTCAAGTGGGTAACTTGCCGCCGAAGAAAAAAAGTAGTGGCGCCGGACAGCGGCATGCGCTACGCGGCGCCCTAGCGCCCCGCGCTATGGAATAGGACCGCGCCGCGCGCTGCGCGGGCGCTTGCCGCGCAATTTGAACCAATTGCAGACGCGCGTAGCCGTGTGCGGTCTAGATTCTTTCGACCAGAGGTGCCGGCGGCGACAGCTCGCGAACCCGCCCACGCGCCGCGGGTCAAACCCGGGCGAGCCTGCGTGTGAGCGTGAACCACCTGCGACGCGCCAGGGGTCCAGGCCGCGGACGGGGCGACTGCTGCGCGATATTGAAACGATCCGCAGCAGGCTCAGGTCCCAGCCGCACGCAGGAATTCCTCGAAACCGAGCTGTGCCGCGCGGGCCCTGCCGTTTTCTGGCAAGCCCCCGCGCGAGTACAGGCCCGCGGGCGGCCCGCGCAGGAAAAACTCGACGGGGGGCGCGCGCGTGAGCAGGAGGTCCTCGCTGCGAGTCGCGCGCGAGAGGAGGACGTAGAGGTCGAGCCACCAATCGTCGTCATGCTTCCTGCCGTTCCCGACCCCGTGGCGGCCGCAATCCAGAAGCACGCCTGGGCGGAAGCGGGCGAGAGACAGGCGCGCCGAAATCCGTGGGCCGAAACCGGCGCGCCAGAACCACAAACCTGAATGCCAAATCGCTCCAAAAACGTTGAGGGCGCCGTCCTCTCGCCCACTCTCTCCCGCATGGTGCGCCCCTGGTACGCTGTGGTTGTGATGGCCTGGCCATGCGAGAATGGGAAACCCGCCCGGGTCACCCTGAAGCCGCGAAAATGGAGGGGCCCCGAACTGCGGGACTCTATGAACACCAGCGGGCCCGTCAAATCCCTCGTGAGGTTGTCGCCGTGGCCCTCTGATATGAAACGGGGACTCCTGCTTGAAAATGCGAACGCGCCCGCTGGGGCCCTCGGTGCAGCTCCATGAGAGGCATGATGTGAGGGTTGGGCCGAAAAGGGTGGGGCGACGCCATGCGAGAGCACCCAGGTGGGGCCCTCGGTGGAGCTCCCAGGGGGCCACGAAACGTGTGAGGGGTGTGCCGAAATCTGCATGCGAACGCATGTAATTTAATGGTTCCCTCGGTGGGGCTCCCTGGGGGGCACGAAGTGTGTGAGGGTGCCGAAATGGGCGGGGCGACGCCATGCGAACGCACCCTCTGGGGCCCTCGGTGGAGCTCTTTGCGGGGCCACGAAACGTGTGAAGGGTGTGCCGGAATGGGTGGGGCGACGCCATGCGAACGCACCCGCTGGGGCCCTCAGTGGAGCTTCTAGCGGGGCTACGAAACGTGTGAGGGGTGCGCCGACATGGGAGGGCGACGCCATGCGAACGCGGAGGGGGGGGCGCCGACATGGAGACGCGCGAGGCTGCGGATTCAAAACGAGGACCCAACACACAGGAGGGTTGGGAAAAGAAGGCTGGGCGTGCACTCCGCGGGCGACCGGTGCTGGACCGTGGGCGGACTCTTGAACTCCCTGGCGGAGGGGGCGCGGTCGCCGACGATAGGCAGCCGACCGCGGCCGAACCCATCTAGAAAGG